AGCAAAAAGAAAAAAGCCGGAAGTGGCGCTGTGGCTCAAGTGGTAGAGCGCTAGCCTTGAGCTGAAGAGCTGAGAGACAGCGCCCAGGCCCAGAGTTCAGGCCCCACGACCAGACCCCCCAAAAAAATCACTTTTCATAAATTCATAATGGTCCCATTAATTTTTCCACAACAAAGATACATTAAGAATCTTAATGTGCTGATTGTATTGGATGCTTCCTGCAGCCTCCAGTCCTCCACCCCTCACTCATATATCTGGGAATAAGAACTGACATACCCATATTTTTCGCGTCAGGCATTTCTTCAGGGACAAGTGAGGTCAAGTTTACAAATGAGAAAACTAAAGATGATCAAGGAATGTAGATGACTTTTTAGGGGTTCTCCCAGAACCCAGCCCTGCAAACCAATTGTTGCCCTTTTCTACTGCTTCAAAATAACTGGTACCACAGACTTTCCTCCTCCCTATCTGTGCAGTGGAAGCCTCCTTGTTTCCATAGATAGCCTGCCTGTCATCTCATGACATCTCTCAGTTTTCTGTCTCCAACTCTTATCCAAAGTACATCTCTATTTGCTAGCTCTCCATAAACAGACACTGTGAGGGCAAGTCATGTTTTTGTGTCTCCTGCTAGGCAAAAAGCAAGAATTCAACAAACTGTCTTCAATATGTTGAGTAGCAGGCTTTGTCTTCCCACCTCCTTGCCTGCCATTACCCACTCTTCCCCATCCTGCTAACTTTTTGTGCCTCCCTTCAAAGGTCTCAGAGTCCCTGATGGTATACTCCCTTCATAGCCACCATCACAATGCAGCACACTTCTAATTCCCAATTAACTATCGTTTCCAGGAGTCTAAATGTAAACTTGAGAGATAGTCTATGTATTTCTTTTTTCTTTTTTTAGTCTATGTATTTCTTATTTCCTACTATATACCACAAGCTTGTTTATTTGTTTCCTTTTTGAGACACAGTTGTGCTATGTAACCTCAACTTGTCTAGAATTCACTATGTAGCCCAGACTGACCTCAAACTTGTGATTTCCCTCCTTTGACCCTTCAAGTGCTAGCATTATAAGCATGTACCACCATACCTGGCATTTTCTCCAGATTCTAATGGGGTTTAGAACAGAATATGCACTTGATAAAAACATTCACAAATGGATTTCTTAAGAAGAAAGTTGAAACTCATTCGCCTGGATTTGTACAAATCCCTCACTCCAGCCAATCTAGTCTTTAGCTACTACCTTGCTGTTCTTCGTAGTCCTCTTGAATAGAAAACACTCCATCTCTTGCTTACTCCTTTCCAGGCATTCAATTCTACCCCAAGGTCAGAAATAAGGCTTGTACCTCTGGGAAGTATCAGCCCAGGACAGGTCCTCTGCTTCCCTGCAGTCACCAGCACAGGCCTACGTGGGCTCATTCATCACCTGCGCACGTTGCTACATGTTTACAGGTATCTTCCCGTTTCCATCTCACTGGGCCCACTAGAATCCCTTCTTCTGAAAGTATTATTTAGCTCTCATTTAGGAAATAATTATATACATGGCCTTTGGACATCTCCTCTGCTGATGTTTCGGGTTAACTTTTGCACATTTTGACTTGGTGCCCTAACTCATTTATAAATTTTGAAGGCAAGTTGTGCTTTTGATGTCTTTGAATCTGTGTAACTCTCTGGGTGCAGAGTAGGAAGTTAAACATTGATGATCTGACATATTGCCCAAATGTGCAGGGGGTGGGGGGATATTGTGGCAATTATCATTTTTCAAATAAAATCAACTTCACCAAAAGTACAGATGAAATTTTCTAATTGTTAGAGGCTGATTTAAAAAGGTCAAATGGTGGTAGTATAATTATACTACAATTTTGTAAAATTACTCTCTGAATAAAGGTTATTTTTAAATAGAAACTTTTGTCCATATGATAAAAAGTATGAATAGAAGAAAAATCATAGAGAAAGAATTAAAAAGGCAAAGAAATAAAACACTTCTATATCTAAAATTGACACTCCCAAATCTCCCTCTAGTTCAGGATAGCTGGCACCCACACTCTGTCAGCGTTCATTGCCAAGTACTAATTCATGATGAAGTTAACACTATGACTCTACATAGTCCTATCCCTGGGCACAAACAAGAATTCTCCCCACTCTTTCACCTAGCTTGTCATAAATATCTGCTTTTAGTTATTTTTGAGGTACTGTATCTAACTGCTTTTTTATTCTTTTTTATTAATAAGGTTTTTTATTGTGAAAATACCATATAATTACATGAGCAAGGTAATGAGTACATTTCTTATCAAGCATTGGTGCCTCCTCCTTTGTTTCCCCTTCCCATCCCATCCCTCCCATCTCCCCCCCAACCCAATCTCGTACATCTCATTGTTGCAATGGGTCCACCTGTATCCCTATTTAAAGAATTTGTTTTTTCCCTTTCCCTCCCCAAATTATACCAACATCAAATACAGTGAAAACAGGGGTTATACCATGGGGGAGGGACATTCATTTTGTATCTGCCTGTGTCATTCCCTTCAAATATATAACCGCAGCTAGTTTCAACCATAAATTAAAAAAAATTTGTATTCAAATGTTTTTCTTTCTTGCGATTGTTTCTAACGTATTTAAAAGATGATTTCTTTGTTGCTTTGTATGTCCCTCCCCCACGGTATAACCCCTGCTTTCATTGTATTTGATGTTGATATAATTTGATGAGGGGAAGGGCAAAACCATTTAAATAGGGATACAGGTGGACCCATTGCAACAATGAGATATACAAGTCATTATGTCGAAAAACGAACTTTATAACTTTGGCCCGGGGGAGGGTGGGGGAGAGGGGGAAACAAAGGAGGAGGCAACAATGCTTGATAAGAAATGTACTCTTTATCTTGCCCATGTAATTGTAACCCCTCTGTACAGTATTTTCACAACAAAAATTTTTTTAAAAGAATTTTTTTGAACAATGTCATGGCTATGAAACCCCAGCTTGCCTCAAACTCCCAACCTTCCCACTTCAGCCTCCTGAGTGCTGGCATTACAGGTGTACCACCACTTGCAGCAGTGTGGTTTCTAATGAGCATTAGAAGTTAAGGGTCCTTTATTTCTTGAAACACACACACACACACACACACACACACACACACACACACATTTTACTGGCTTCCCTTCCTTATCCAATAATGAAGGTCATAATCCAAGAAAGAAGCCAAACAATGTATTTTGAAAAACCAACCATTCCAGGCAAAAATAAATGAAACATGGGAGGCTGTTTATTTGTACGTCAAGGAGAAAGTGAAATTCTCAGTAGGGTGACACGGTCATTTGTTTTCCTCAATGAAGCAAGCAAATCAAACAGGGATAAGCCAGGCCCTACCCTTCATCATTCATGGCGTAATGAGCTCTTGCTGGATTAACCATTCTCTTATACTCTCTCCCCAAACACAGATGCACAGTGACATCAACAGAACAGCTTGAGATCATCAATCTATAAGACAGAAGTGCAGCAGCCAGACCCGCAGCCTTCTTAAACATTCATTGCCTTCAGCAAATGCTGGGAGGCAGTAGGGTGAGGGACAGACTTAGGGATGGCAGTGCCCTAGGGCCCGGAGACCCAAATGTCCCAAGGCTCTGCAGACCAGGCTACGTGCTGTACTCAAGGCCACAAACCTCAGACTCAATCCAGTGACTTCCCTTCCCACCAAGCATCAGCAGCCGGCCACCACCAACATGCCACTGAGCAGGCCCATGAGGGAGTGTGCGAGGCCCTGGGATCATCCACTAGATGGGCTAGGCCAGCACACTGCCCGCAGGCCACAAGGAGTTCACAGCCTGCCTGGCTCATGCCCAGAGGCCCAGCTGCTCGAGGGCAAGGCGGAGGTGCCCGGGTGGCACAGCATGCAGAGGTGTGGTACTACGAGTTCAGTACCACAGCTGGAGGCAGGGAAGGACCCCTGTCCTCACACGGTAGTGGGGAGCTAGCACATGAGGTCAGTGCGAGCACCACAAATCAAAGTGAGCCACTCATGTGCACACGGCACTCTACCTCTGCGACCTGTCACAGCCACTGGCTTACGGAGTTGTGGGGTCTCGGGCACTGACTTAGAAGACATTGATGGCACAACTCTAGATGCCAGCACATTTAACTCAGGTCCAGGTGCCTGAGAGAGGCAAAGCAGTAGCTTTAGAAGAGGGGGCACCCCGTTTTGATCTCCTCTGCAACAGAGTACCAGTAAGAGTCCGGGAGCATGTTCAGTGGTCTTACAGCCTCTCTGATCTCAGGACCTCTTTCTTTCTTTGATGGGAGAAGGGCTTCTGGCATTTCACCCAGGGCCTCATACCTGCTAAGCATGTGTTCTACCACCATGCCCCATCCTCAGCCTCACAACTCCACTTCTGCTGAGGGTCTGCTGAAATGGCAATTTTTTTTTCTTTTTTCTTTTTTCAATCAATTGTGGGCTTTAACTCAGCGGCTGAACACTGTCTCTGAGCTCTTCTTGCTCAAGGCTAGCACTCTACCACTTTGTGCCACAGTGCCATTTCCAGTTTTCTGGTAATTAATTGGAGATGAGAGTTCTCAAGGACTTTCCTGCTTGGGCTGGCTTCAAATCCCAACCCTCAGCTCTCAGCTTCTTGAGTAGCTAGGATGACAGGTGTGAGCCACCAGGGCCCAGCTTGTGGACTGGTTTTGATGTCACCATCCAGGAGGAGGACTTGGCCCTCCTGACCATGGAAGCCACTGCTCAAACAAGCAGGACAGGTGCTGGGATCTGGGGACGCACTGGCTGGCTTTCCTCCTACTGCTTGCAGGTCTCTACCCCATCTATTTCAGTGACCACCTAGCAGCACAGCTCAGAGTTAAATCTGTAGCTGAATGTCTACAGAAAAGCAGTACCGAATCCAGAGGAGCTGCTTCCTCCCAGAACCCTCCCTGGCCCGGCTGTCCTGGGTGTGGAGTCTTAGTGTGGGGGCAGGGGCTGAGGGGACAGCAGAAGAGCTGCAGAGAAATGGGATGCAAGACCTACCTGGTGTGCTAGCAGCCTTGGGGAGCTGAGGAAACTGGAAGCAGCCAGAGGAAATGAAAATGAAAGCAAAGTCACTGGATGGGGAAGTCTCTGGTGATGCACACCATCCCTACCAGCTCCACTCCACCTTAGACACTCAAACACAAGCTCCAGGAGGCCATGGTGATTCTCACCCTGCCCAGGCTCTTTGCTGCCCTTCCAGGCACTTTTGACTGCTATCTTCATTGCCTTTTGTCTTTTTCTTTGTCGTTTTCTGGATTGTAAGCTAGGACTTCCTCATTTTTTAAACAACCTGCCTTCAATGTCTCCACTGTGAGTAACATGTAAGTGTCTTCATGCTGGCCATAACTATCCTGGGGAAGCTCTGGAATTATACACCAATGCCCATCTTAACAAACACAATGTGTTTCTTTTATAAAACATTCAGAAAGTCAGTCACTGGGAGACAAAGCAGGAAGGCTGTGTGCTGCTTTTTTCAGTATTTCTCTGGCACCAATTCCCTACAGGTATAAACTTAATACTTTGCCCTAAAATTGTTAAGGCAAACCTTAAAGAGTTGCATGTGGGAAGGTGGGGTGCAGCAGAGTGGTAGAACGTTTGCCCAGAAGGCAAAGGATTCAATCCTTAGCACCATCAAAAGAAAATTCAGTAAGAAATTGGAGCAGAAATAGACTCTGTTGTTATTTATTAGCTATGAGACTCAGGGAAAGCGTATTCATCTGTCAAAACTTCAATTTTTTCTCCTATAAAATGGTTCCACTCCAGGCTTTGGTGGCTGTAATCCTATCATAGCTGCTCAGGAGGCTGAGATATGAGGATTATGATTCAAAGCCCAGTCCAGGCAGGAAAGTCTGTGAGATTCCTATCTCTAATTAACCAACCAAAAGCCAGAAGTGGAAATTTGGCTCCAGTGGTAAAGCAAATAAAACTAAGGAAGAATGCCCCGGCCCTGAGTTCAAGCCCCAGTACTGTCACACAGGGAAAAAAAGCTCAGCCCTATTCACCTGGCAGTAGCCTCTCAAAAACCTGGAACACATCCCCCAACACATGATGCCAAGCACTGGGTAAAGTACTTAACAGACAATATCTATCATAATACATGAGCAAACGCCTATTGGGAAGTATGAACCTTCAAATGCTAAAACTGGCTATTATTGTTTAAATGAACTTGATTCTAAGTGTCACTTCCTAAAGTTGTTGCAGTGAGCCTTTTCCTTAATCTGTATTATATCCCATAACAAATCAAACTGAGGGAAGAGATTGGAGATATGAGCAAACCGCTAAGGGAGCCATGAAGGAAGAAAAGAAGAACCAGGAGCAGCTACAAGTCCAGTCCCAGCCTGGGTAGTACCCAGCCACAAAGCCACAAACCTGTGATCAGGTGATCCACAGGAGGTTACACGGCCTATAGCTAGCCATTTGATTCTGCTTAAGGTGCCCAATGAAATGAAACCTGCACAAAGAAATCTTTCTCTCCAGTTAGGTAGGCTGGACTTGCTCCAGCTGGACCCCATTGCGGTCCGTTGGGACTCCATTGGGTCCTCAGAGAAGTGCATGCTTCTCTCCAGCACTGTGTGGCTGGGTAGTCTTTATTTGGGAACAGGAGTCCCAGCAAGTGGGTCAAAAACATTATTCATCTGCACTTGGTGTGTCAAACCCATCTTTCCCCCAGTACATTCTGTCCTTTAAGATCAGTTAGAAAACTAAGTGAGAATCGTCACAGATAGGTACATGACAACACATCTGATGAAGCCGTTATTCACAGCCCTGAAGGACCGATGGTCATGCTGTCATAAGCTTACAAGTCAAGAGATGAAGTCACACAAGTGGTCAGGATTGCCTGCTCCAGAGAGCTGCCCCGTATGATCTTCTTCTGCTTTGAGTTTTCTCTCCCTAAGTATTTGAACTCTGTGCGTCTTTTCTTTTTGATTTTATGTTTGATGAAATAGTTTTAATCTCTTTCACTCTACAACAGCCTTCTCCCCTTGTAAAAGGTAAATGATCGATTTAAATCTCTTCAAATATTTATCATTTCTTTACGGTGAAAACATTTCAAATCTTTTAAAAAAAATCTATAGTACATTATCATTTATCATTATCTAGATTCACCTTGCTATGTAATGGACCTGAGTTGAAATTCTTGAGGGTCGCTTTGCTTTAGTTTGTATTTTAGGTTTCTGTTTGTTTTATGTGGCAGTACTGGGGTTTGAAGTCTGGGCCTTGAGCTTGCTAGGCAGAGTCTGCATTCACTCTGGAGCTAAACCCCCAGCCCTTTTTGTATTAGTTCTTTTATTTTTGTTTTAGTTATTAGCTATTTTTCAGGTAGGATCTTGAGCTTTTTTTTTTTTTGGCCTTGTGAGGCACCCTGGACCACAAAAATCCTCCTACTTACACCTCTTAGGTTGACGAGATGACAAGTATGCTTTTTGTGGAGATGAGGTCTTGCTAAATTTTTCCCTAGGTTACAAAGTTGAACTGTGATCTTTCTGACTTACGGTTCTCAAGTAGCTAGGGTCATCAGCATGATACACTACACTAGAACCAGAAGCCTAAAGCTTGCTCTGACCTCTCCTCCAGTCCCCTCCTTTTCCCTTCCATTCCCTCTCTTTCCTTCCTTCTTTCCTTCTTTTCTTTTTATTTGGATCCAAAGTTCATTTTTATTTTTGTTGGTCGCAGGACTTGAACTCAGGGCTTGGGCACTATCCCTGAGCTTTTCTGCTCAAGGCTAGTGCTCTACTACTTGGAGCCACAGCACTAGTTCCAATTTTCTGGTGGTTAATTGGTAGAGAATAGAGTGTCAAGGACTTTCCTGTCTGGGCTGGCTCTGAACCACAATCCTCAGATCTCATCCTTCTGAGTAGCTATGATTCTAGTCATGAGCCACCAGAGCCCGCAGGACCCAAAGTTTTAAGTGGTTACTTGAAAGAGTTTCACAGTAAATTCTAATATTAGCAATCCCAGTAATGGTAATATATTCATCACTGTCTTCCTGAGGGGAAAATGTTCTTGGCCAAGAATATGCCCTCTCTTGTTAAAAGGACAGTTACTGATTTGAGGGTCTAGAGAGGCAGGGGGTCTCACAACCACTCTCCAAGACTCGGCTTCTCACAGTGTGGTCTGGGACCCAAGGGGACCAAGGTGCACTTGGAATAGTTTTAGGAATGCTGATTCCCAGGATCCCCAAAAACTGACCTTCTGCCATACCTTCCAGTTTTCTGTGGGATCATTAAACAAAACAAAGTTGGAAAAGCACTGGTCACTGGTCTAATGAGGTTTATTTACAGGTTCAGTGCTAGCAGCTCACCTAGCAATTGGTGGATAGATCTACAAGGCTGCTCTACACTTTTAGTTGAGAACTTGACTTCAATAAACAGCAGTAGAACAGGGCAATGTACAATGACTGTGTCATTTTTGAGTGGCTCAAAAGTATCAGACAGAATTGATCTTCATTAATAGATTGGTAAGGAGCTCTCCACAAAGGACCCATTTCTGCACTGGAGAAATAGCTTAAAGGGCCGTGGAAATCCACCCAGGATGAACATCCCATTCCATCAAGTCCAAGATTAACTAGGACAATGGAACAGAAAGTCTGGAAGGAGCCCATCTGCCCTTACAAAATGTGAAGTCATAAAGTTAGGGACAAATCTGCAAATATCTATGCTGTGTTTCACAGCTGAATTGGAGAAATTCAAAATTCAGATGTCAGAATACTGCTATAATTAGATATGCATGACACATCACACTTCATTAAACTTTAATTCCTACTTTCAAAATCTAGACTGCTTTTGGAACAAGGACATAATTAACCAATTTAAAATGATCTATGTAAAAGAAAGATGTTTACTACTCTTTAATTCCTCCAAAGAATGCAAGTGTCTGAGGATGGTTCTGTGCTTGCTGGGGACCAAGGTTTATAATTTGTAAGGAATTTAGGGAAACCAGATTGTGGTATGAGAAACCTTGTGTATGTGTAGAGGATGCATGCATGTATGCACATGCACATGTGCACACATGCACATATCAGTATGGGGACTTCAAGGCTTCTCCCTATCACTAGGCTTTCTTGCCCAAGGTTAATGCTTTGGCACTTAAGCCATGCCTCCAGTCTGGCATTTTGTTGGTTAAAATTAATTGGAGATGGAGTTTTGTAGACCTTTCTGCCAGCTGGCTTCACATCACAATCTTCTAGCTCCATCCTCCGTATACTACTGACTAGTGGAGTATACTACTCGCCATGACTGTTGACCTGGTATATATATACAGTCTGCCTACAGGATGAAAAGTATTGCCTGCCCAATCAGATCACACTGAAGTACATAAAAGATGTCAAAGTTTGAACGATTTCTATTCTTTCCTTCAAATCTCATTTTCAATTACGGAAAAGAATTAAACATTCAAAATCCCTTACTTATTATGTTTTAAAGGTGGACAGGGTAAACATATGGACATATGGACAGGGTAAATTCCATTTGTTTACACCATACAGGTTATGTTTTTGCCAGTAAAATGTTTCCTTACTTAATTTCAAAACGAAGTTCAATCCATCTCTCCGATCTCCAGGAAGAATGACAATACACTATGTCTTCTCTTTCTGGGTTCACTTTACACACTGTCACTTAGAAACACATGCTGGGCAAAGCAAGAGCAGCTTCTCTTAGGCTTGATCTCCAACTAGGGCGGATAAACATTGGTAACACCTAGCTTTCACTGTCTTGTATCTCTGAGGTTTCACACATGAAAACTCATAGCTCTTTCTTGAAGAACAAGTCAAACACGGCAGTTAAAAGCAAAACCACCTAATAAAAAACCAGTTCTGGTGGAGACGGCATCAGAGATTTAAAACAAAACTACATGCCTGCATACTGCAGAGTCAAGCCTTGGAACAGGGAGAAGATATTAAAACCAGCCCATCCCACCTAGTCATGAAAAGGCAGAGCAGAGGAACACAGACCCATATCGATATTGAGCTGTTTCCTGTAGGAAAGTAAAACACTAATTTGCCAAAAAAGGCAATTCTAGTTTTTTTTTAAAATGTGTTACT